TGTATATATATATATTTGTATATCTTTTATAAAGAAATAATTATAAATACAAAATATAATAATATATAAATAAATAATTTTAATATATTAATCATGATTATACTATAATTATATATGTTTTAATTTTAGTATGTTAAAATATCTTTAAATATTTTATAATATAAAAATATTTTAAAATTAATAATGAATCTATAAAATATAAAAATATCTATAAAATATCTATAGAAACTTACCAAGTTTTAATAATAAATTTATTTTCTTTTTATAATAGATTCATGGAATATATCAAAATATTTATTTATGTGACTAAATAAAATTAAAATGAACTTTCATGATGCAAATTTATTTAATTCTAGGAGGAAATATTGGATGTTTGGGGAAAATTGCATAAACTTGTTCTTTTCCTTTGATTATATATTTATAACTTCCATCTTATAACTTTTGTATATTCTTCGTACGATATGAATATTTTATAGAAATATGGCCAATGTGCAAGAAGTTTTATCTGACTATAAATATTTTCAGTACATTGTGTTCAGTTGCCTATGCATGAACAATTTAGGATAAAATATTTTCGATCGTTTTGTGCAGAAATAAAATTGAATATCAAACATATAATTCAAACTGAAACTACTATATTTCGTTTGAAATGATACTTATTAGAAGTATCAGCCATCCAATAATATTTGGTCTGAGATTAACTGGAATTTGGCCAAAATCATCCTATGAAATTATTGTTCGATTTATATGGGTTATTATTATGATGTGTGCACAAATATTTCAATATCGATATATAATAAATCACATTGGTTTTGATAATTTGACAGATTTAATTGATAGCATAAGCACTACCTTGCCTTATAGTCTATTGTGTTTTAAATTAATTAGTTTTTGGACTAAACGCGAGTAAGTTATATCCTTTAAATTTTAATATGATGATTAATTATATATATAATATAATTTATATATAATAATATAATATAATATAATATTATATATAATAATATAATATTTATATATAATAATATATATAAATTATAATACATATAATATATATATTTATATATAAATATAAATATGTAAAATAATATTTGATANATATAATATTATAATATTGTTAGAAATTAAATATTATTATAGTCTAAAATTATTTTTTATTTTATATTTAAATAATTTTTTTTGGTATTGTATTTTGTTGTCGATATTACATGTATAATAGAAATATTTGATATAATATTTATTATAGTGGTTTTTAAATTTTGTTAGATTAAGAATATTACTGATATTTATAATTTTATATGATATATATTTTACAAAATCTTTAACTATTATTTTTTTTTGATAAATTTTAATTTAATTAAAATTTAATAGTTGGCTTTAATAAAAAATTAATTAAATTTATGGAATTTTTAGTATATTCTTCATAAAATTAAATAAAATGTTAAATTTTTAATTTAAAAAATTTCAAAAAATTTTTGTGAATTTTTATTAACTCTCAAAAATATAAAAATCCGTGAATTACAATTTAAGAATCATGATCTCTTATATTTAGATTTTCAAATTTTATGATTTTTAAAGATATTTAAAAATAAAGATAAAGGAAAAATTACTTAAGGAAATTATATATAAAATTATTACAACTAATATTATAACTATTATAATTTATAAGTTTGTAATTTTGATCGATTTGAATTTAATTTTATTTGAATTAATGCTTTTAATTTTCTAGATCATGAAATAAAGTAAAAATTATTTATTTATTATAAAAATGATAAATTAAAATATGAAAAATGAAAGATTTCTAAAAATAAAAAAGATTAATTGAAAGATTACTTTTAAAATTTTTTTTTCAATTTTTTATATTTATTATATTACAGAATATTTAAAAATATATTAATAAATATGTATCATGATTGGACTAATGCTTTTGCTGCTGATTTTACTGTAGATGATATGATAAAAAAAACCGAACTCGCATATTATTGTTCAAATTTAATTATGAGTATATATGCTACTGCTGTTTTTATGTATGTTGGTGTATTTCTCGAATTAAATCATCATGATCAAGGAAATCGATCTAATTTATCATCAGAATTATTAATAAAAATGGATCTTCCTTTTACATATGATGAAAGTCCAATATATGAGTATGTATTTATCGTACAATTTATTCAACTATTTTTTATAGCATCTGGTATTGCTGTGTTAGATGCCTTAATAATAACATTGGTAAGTTTATTTTGATATAATAATTAAAAATATGTATTTTTAATATTTATTTTTATTTGATTAATAATCTAAATATTATGTAAATATTATGTAAGTATTATGTAAATATACGATATATGTATATTTTTAGATATAAAATAATGTTATAAGAAATTATATTGATTTTTACGTATTTTATAAAAATTTTACAAATATAAAATTTTTCTTTGCATGAATATTAAGAATGATAGATCGAAATTTAATTTTTAAATTTAAAAACACGGAAAAGTTTACAAAGATTCCGAAACTTTCAGAACTTTTGAAAGAGTATCTAGTTTAAAAAAAAATTAATTTTAATAAATTTCAATTAAACTTTTCAACAAACAGATACATGATTAACTAGATAAAAAATAATAATCATTTTTTTGGTTTATAAAAATTAAGTTTTTATATTTTTTTTCTCTATGTAAACTATTGCAATAAGTTAGTAAATTTAATTATTGAATTATTATGGGTAATATAAAAATGAATTTATGTTTTATGAATTCATGACATTCTTGAATTAACGTTATATAGATTATTTATTTCTTATTTGAATTTTAAGTTCTGAATCGTAAAAACATAAGAAAAAGTTTAAAAATTCGAAAATTATTTAAATTTTCTTTATTATTATATCATTCTTTACTATTGAAATATTCAAATTTTATAAGAATGATTGATTAAAAAATTGTTTTTTTTTGTAAAATTATACTCCTATTATTATATTATTATAAAATTATATCCTATTATTTAAAATTGCTAAAAAATCGTATATATCATATATATCATATTTTAAATATTTTATATATTTTTGCATATCATATGCATTCTGTAATTTTTTATACATTTAATTTTGTATAAATAATTATATAAACATCCTATCTAATTATAATAATTATTATTTAGATATTTCATATTGGCGGGCAAATAGAAATATTGCATAAGACTTTGAAAAATATTTCTATCAAGAATGAAAAACCCGAATCATCCAGAATTATCATTAAATCTTTAATTGATAGACATTGTCGGATTATTGTTGGTTCTGAATATATTGAAAGTTTATTCTCATATATTGCTTTAATGCAATTAATATGTAATACTATTATTATATGTTGTATAGGATTTTTAATAGTAGTTGTAAGCATATAAAATTTTTTATACTTTATATTAATTTTGATTATAATTATATCTTGATTATAATTCTTATATATTAAAAATTTGATTCATTCCTAATCTGTTCTAATTTTTTAATGATAATATTGAAATAAATACTCACAGTTCTCTTAGAAGGTATATCTCTTTATTTATTTTATGATTTAAGAACAATAAACCATACGCATAAAAATAAATAAATGCTTGTAAGTATATATAAAAGTAAATACTATGTTTCTTATATATTATTTAATTCTAGTATATAGAATGTAAAAAATCTTAATTAAATATTAATTTTAATAATTAAATAAATACTAATTTAATTATTCAATTGCAAATTCTCTAAATAAAAACAAAAATATCTGATGTTTACTCATTATTCATTAAATTTATGAAAAAATTTTTGGCAAATCTATAACTAAAGAACAATAATTGAAAAAAAATAAAATAAAATATTATAAAAGAAAAACTAAAAAATTGTGTTTAGAAAAGTTAAAGAAAGCACAATTTTAGATATAAATGGAGATATAAATGCAGAATGACATGATTAAGAGGAAATTAAAATAGGCAACAAACAAACTTAAGATTGCTAAAATTTATTTGAATTTTTAAATATTATGTGTTCCTATAATAATAAATATTTATTATTAATATAATAATAAATATTTCATTTTTTATGCATACGAAATAATATTTACTGAAAAATTATTAGTAAAAACTTGTCTTTATATATAATGGGCTAATATCTGTATTCTTTTAAACATATAATATTCAATTCAGTCGAATCAAGATTCATCTACCATATAATTTTCTAAATAATATATCAATGTACGCGTATGCGAATACAACAGATTGTTCAAGAGAAATCAAGCACTAAAGTTTGTTTGCTATTTATTTTAACACATAAAATGATAGAAACACTTTATCATTTTTAGTGTTTCGAAATTAATGTAATTTATTCAAATTTTACATCGTATAAAGTATTCTTTTTTATATTATATATTAATATAGAATATAGTGAACTATATAAAATACAGTTAATATAATTTATTTTTACAAATTCTTATTTTCCAAAATTTTTTTATGAAAAATTAAAATGATATAATGAAAAGATTTTATACGGATTTTATATATCTAAAATTTAAATAAATTTTATTAGAGAAATAATAAAAATTATAATATGCTATTATTTTGTCCAGAAATGTATCATTCAAAAGTTTTTTTTTATTCAATCGTTGTAATAAATTAGTCGAAAGTAAAATAGTATGAGATCATCTGTATTCAGTTTTTTTTAAAAATATTTCATCACTAATATATATATATATATATATATATATATTTTATAGCTTATAAAAATTTCTATTATTGTAGGCGCTTAATTCAAA